CATGCTGAGGCCAAACCGTCCGATCGCTCAGAGTCGGGCACTGTGGGACTCTCTCGTGGCAAAGGAGGGCTCTTGTGCGACAACAGCTGAAGGGCCGAAACGGTAAGGAGGAGTATCTAGGGAAATGATGACGGTGAAGCAACCCAACCACCATCCTACCGTTATAGCAGATATCCCGAGAAAGCAAGGATTCATTAGTCGCGCTGAAAGGGTACCATGGGACGGGTCGGTACAGCGAGCGACGATATCCCGCCAATGACTGGACGCGTCTTCGTCACGAGAGACCAGATGAGAGCACCTCGGGCAGTTGTGAATCCAATGGGGTGGAGGACGACCATCGAATTCGTGAGGATCGGAGACGTCACGGCGTGCAAAGGTCATCGTGACAGGATTTTCGTATGAATGGCATTGCCCGAAATGCGTTCCTAATCGATTAGGATGGCGCGCGCTTTCTCTTCAGCGCAGTTCCGATCGCGAACACACTGACAACGCTTGTCTAAACCCCCTTTCGTTGCAATGGATGACACGAGCGAATCGACCACAGTGGCGGATCAACCCACCCCTCACACTAAGGATGACCCTCCGCCCGCTGACATTGAACAGGCAGAGGAAAATACCAGGCCAAAGTTGGGTTTACCAACGAGGGAATTTGATGACCAACAAGGTCCCACCAAGGAAGCCCTCGACCCCGAAGGGGCGACGGACAGGGCCACTTACACTGGCTGGACTCCCAACCAGTACTACTATGAGCATCCGTATCCATATGGCACAAATGCTTTCGATGGTGGCATGCCCTACTGCCCTGACGATGGCAGCGGTCCCGACTTTCAAGGCAGGGCCCCTCAGGTCAGCGAGGTCTGCCAACGACTGATGAAAACTCGATTCTGTCGTTACGGTGCCAACTGCAAGTGAGTGATGGTATGTTATTGTCGATTAATGAGGCGGTTGTTGTCAGGTACGGATCTAATTGCTTTTACGCTCACAGCCAAGACGAACTTCGCCAGCGACCTCCCCCACCAGCGGGATTCGCTCGTCAGATGAGACAAGACTACGTCGACCCAGCGGCTTTCGGTAAGCAACGCTCCGCCCAACTGTTTCGAACGTTTATGTGATCAGACCCAGCATTAATGCAGTTCGCGCCTCCTATGGGTCTGCCTTCTCATATTGGCCACTACCCCCTCACTGAGGTCCCTTATGATGTTAATCCATATGGATACGCTATGATACCAGGAGGAAACCCAAGTCCCCCGATTGTGCATCCCGGAGGATTTCGCGTTCCGCCGGGATTGAACCCGGGTGCCTATCCCGTCCCACCCCATATGGACTTCCCGGCCCATCAGTTCAACAATAATTCAGCCCCGCCGGCCGGCGTCCCCAACGGTCAGACCCCTCAGGGCGGTACAGTGCCTCAACATGTTCTCCCAGCTCCTAACGAGATGCTCCCTAACCCCTTCGCGGTAGCGGAGCGTATCTTTGGCCAAGCCGGCCTCAAACCAGAGCAAATTGCCAGTATTCTGAAGGCAGCTCAGCCAGTGTCTTATGGCGACTAATGACAAGTGAAGCTTCTGGACATTATTTTGTCGTGGTGATTCTATTTGAGCTTTCAAAACTTCACAGAGCAGATGGCGTAGCCATTACTCTCGATTTCACATTCGCGTCTATTGACTCGATTGCGTTTATGACATTGATGCCCATGACCACGTGCCTTATGATGATGATGA